CCCCAAAACCCCAAAACCCCAAAACCCCATAGATACTTCATTTAGTATTAGAATTGTTTAATTTAAAAGCTAAAATCCAGTAATTTAAAATAGCAATTAATTATCTTTAACAACTCTTGGAATCTAACCCCGATACTTTTGGATTAGGGCGGTTGTGGTAAACTTTTATTTTACTCACTGGGAGTCCAAACAATACTCTTAAGGTATTGGATCCATCATGTCATTTGACATTGTTAATAAGCTTGGGCAAAGACTAGTATGGTCCAAGGAAATCTCTCTGATTCTTTGTAAGAACTGCAAAGCATGATTCCAGCATTAAGATATTATCACCAGGATTCTGATAACTGGACTTATAGTGAACATTTTACTACATAGCAAATATTATCTTGTCAACAGTATGTGGATTAATGGGCTCGATACTATAGGTGGCAGAGGAAAAGTATATCAGTGAATAAGCAACAGAAGAGACAAAAGGATTTACTTTAGTTATTTTTGAATGATCTACATGCTGTCATAGGTGTTTGGAAATCTGATTGCAGCCCTAGACTTAGGTGAGATGTATTAAATCAGCTATTTCATCATCATTTCAGTCATAGCATTTCTTTTCTCTATAAGTTTAGCATTTTTAAGGTTGCCGAAGAAGGTTGAAATACAAGTAGAAGAGAATGTTCAATTTCTGAATACAGATAATATTAATCTTAGTTCATCAGCTCAAAACAGAGAAAGTAACCCTGAATTTAGAATTGCAACGCTCTTTAATAAAGTCAAGTGACTAAGAAAAGAGGGATTTGGAACTATGTAAAGAAATAGTATTCAACCGACAAATTATATCTGACGTAATGTAATTAGTGATATCAAAGAGGATGGCTTTCTTTTTACTTCAAGTCCTTTGGATTGGTGTTAGTGTTTCTATTTATAATGGATTACTTGTGACCATAATCTAAACTTTCTTAACAGGAAAACTATAGACAAGAAGAATGAGAAATCTTTACAAGCTTTAGTTGCTTTTGGGTTTGGAGAAATATTTGGATCGTTGATTATCAATTAAATTGTAGATCAAATTAATAATAGAATTGCAACCTTATTTAACTGTCTGTCAATAGCTCTAGATACAATACTCATTATTATCTTCTAAAGCATGAGTAGTATAACTCGTTCACATTGCAATTATTACTCATTGATAAATATTATTGATCATGTAATTCCAATTAATAATTTCTCAACCTTTATTCTCTTATTGTATATCTAGCTAGTTATCAACTAATGTATTCTGTTATTTTTCCTATATAGTTATCACTAAAATTTTAGCTTTATGTAAATAATTATATACCTCGTTTATCTCCAATATTTCTCAAATCTTCTTTGATTACAGTATCAAGGGGTTTTGGGGTTTTGGGGTTTTGGGG